TTTTTTTTTTTTGGACCGTTGCAGCCCCAACGGTCCATTTTTGAATTAAAAGCTGAGAAATAGCCCAATCAGACAGCCCCTAAGTATATGTAGGGTCTGCGAGGCTTTAATTTCGAGCCTATTAGTAATTCAATTTGAGTTGTCAAAAAATTGGAAGGAAACATAATTTTTTTTTTTTTTTTTTTTTTGGGGACTATTGGCCACTGTATTGGAAATGATATGTAAGTTACATTGCGTAGCTGAAATTTCCTTTCAGGAGTTCACACACCAATGACTTCACTGTTTCAACCCATAGCTTACACTCCACCAGAACTACCACCACCCCAAGTCCATGAATTTAAGGACAAGGGAAAACTCTATTTTCAAAACCCAATGCAACCACAATCCGTTTCTCAATCACTCCCCATTAACCAATTATCTATTCCTTTTCTCAATGGCCATGTTAATTCAACCGCCTATGCTTCAGCACTCGAGTTCTGCAGCTGCCCCAGACTCGGGAAACAAGTCCACGCCCACCTCCTCAAGAACGGGTTTCATTGCCGAGAGTTTGTTGGAACCAAATTACTTCAAATGTACGGGAAATGTGGCTGCATTGAAGATGCGGCCTGCGTGTTTGATAAAATGTCTGATAGGAACTTGTACACTTACACTGCAATTTTCAATGCGTATTTAGAAAATGGACTTTTCAAGGAAGCTTGGTCATATCTTCTTGAATTGCTGTTTGAGGATATTGAATTAGAATTTTTTGTTTTCCCGGTGGCATTGAAGATTTGTGGTGGTTATGGCGGGGTTGAATTGGGGAGGCAATTACATGGGATGGTGGCAAAGAATGGAGTTTTGTCGCATATTTATGTGGGAAATGCTATGATTGATATGTATGGGAAGTGTGGATGTTTAAATGATGCTAAGAAGGTTTTGAATAATATGTCAGAAAGGGATTGTGCTTCTTGGAATTCCATTCTCACAGCTTGCATTTCCAACAGAATGTTATTGGAAGCATTGGTGTTTTTGGAGAAAATGTCGATAGAGAATAATTTGACTCCCAATTCTGTTTCTTGGAGTGCTTTGATTGGTGGGTTCTCACTGAATGGATATGACAAGGAAGCCATTGCCATGCTGTACAAAATGAAAGTTGCGGGATTTGAACCTAATGCACGAACTCTAGCAAGCATTCTTCCAGCTTGTGCTAGATTGAAAAGGCTGAGATTGGGGAGAGAAATCTATGGATATATTGCAAGACATGGATTTATGTCTAGCCCTTTCATTGTCAATGGATTGGTTGATCTGTACAGAAGGTGTGGGGATATGGAAAGTGCTTTCCAGATCTTTTCAAAATTTTCAGTGAGAGATGCGGTTTCTTTTAATACAATGATAGCTGGTTATTGCGATAATGGGGATGTTTTGAAGGCAAAAGAGCTCTTTGATCAGATGGAACCAGAGGGAAAAATGAGGGACTTAATTTCTTGGAACTCTATGATTTCTGGATATGTAGATAATTTCATGTTTGACGAGGCTTTGAGCATGTTTACAGATTTAATAACTACGGGTGGGATTGAACCTGATTCATTTACTCTAGGTAGCGCACTTGGCGCTTGTGCAAAGATGGGTTCTCTAAGATTGGGGAAAGGGATGCATTCATATTGTATTGTGAAGGGTCTGCAGTCGAATCTTTTCATAGGTGGAGGATTGGTGGAAATGTATTGTAGATGCCAGGACCCAGAAACCGCTCAGAAAGCCTTACAGGAGGTACCTGAAAGGAATATAGCAATTTGGAACTCTTTGATTTCTGGTTACGCTCGATGCAATCAAACTGAAAATATCCAGTGCATCCTTCAGAAAATGGAAGATGATGGATTTAAACCGGATGTATATACATGGAATGGAATAATTGCTGGCTATGTAGAAAATGACCAACATGAGTCGGCTTTAGAATTGTTTTCGCAGATGCAGGCTTCAAATTTGAGGCCTGATATTTACACAGTTGGTATAGTTCTACCCGCGTGCTCAAGGTCAGCTACTATTGAACGGGGTAAGCAAGTTCATGCATATGCAATCAGATGGGGATATGAATCAGACGCCTACATTGCAGCTGCTCTTATAGATATGTACGCAAAATGTGGAAGCATAAAGTATGCGACTCTTGTTTATAGTAGGATCAGAAATTATAATTTGGTTACCCAAAATGCAATGCTTACTGCATACGCCATACATGGGCAGGGAGACGATGGAATTTCTTTCTTCCGTGAAATGCTGGTTGATGGTTTCACACCAGACAATGTGACATTCCTAGCTGTTCTTTCTTCTTGTGTCCATGCAGGATCAGTTAAAACTGGACAAGAATTCTTCGATATGATGAAATCTTATGGTGTGAAACCTACCTTAAAACACTACACATGCATGGTTGATCTTCTAAGTCGCGCAGGCCAGACGGATGAAGCATACAAGATGATTGAGAAAATGCCGGGTGATCCTGATTCAGTAATTTGGGGTGCCTTGCTTGGTGGCTGTGTTATCCATGGGGATGTGAATTTAGGAGAAATTGCAGCACATAAGCTCATAAAATTGGAACCAGATAACTCTGGGAACTATGTGATGCTGGCCAACTTATATGCTTATACAGGTAGATGGCATGATCTTGCAAAACTAAGACGGCAAATGAAGGACATGCAACTATATAAAAATCCAGGTTGCAGTTGGATTGAAGACAAAGATGAAATTCATGTCTTTATGGCATGTGACAGATCTCACAAGAGAGCAAAACAGATATATGAGGTTTTGGATAATTTAACAACACAAATGAGATTGGAACAAAATGAACATGAAATTCAATTCTATGTATAAGTTGTATACAAAACAACATATTCATGATTTTACCACAAGTTGATGTGTCACAAGAAATTGCTTACAAGAATTGTGGCAGTACTAGGAGCAACAGTGTCACATTTGTATTCAGTAATGATCGACTGACTCGAGAACCCTGCGGGCTTGAATGTGCAGTGCTGTCAATCTTTGCTCTGGATCCAGAGTGGATCCAAATTGACTTGCTGCCCATATCAAGGAAGCAGATTTTTCCCCCAAGAATTGCCTTAGATCCTTGTGTATTGTTGCCATGGGAGGTGTTTCCCTTCCATTTAAATGACCAATGAGAAGCAATAAAAACTCGCCACATTTCAACCTGATAAGATGATAATACCCTCGGCCAGTTGGCAAATACAGAAAGAAATATATATGGAACAACAAACTTGTTCGAACATGAATTTTAGAAGCAAACCAGAGTCCAGAAGGGATATTAAATAATTGCGAGGATAAAAATAAGAAGAGAGCTTCAAGTGAATTAAATAATAGGGCATACAAGTAAAAGATACCTGAGACTTTCTTCTGCTTGTTTATCTCTTATAAGAACAGCAACTTCCTCGATGCCATTGCATGCCTCAAAATCCTGGCACGTAATTAGCCAACAAACATCAATAATCAAGTAAATATAAAGGGTAGCTTCATTACATTGGTTCAGACAGTATGGAGGAAATAGATGATTCGTGCAATATTTCATGTTCTCACATTTTTGCAAATTCTCATTTTCTATAATAAGCAGAGCCTAAATACAAAAAACATTCAACACTAACATTTTTCACACCACAACCAGAGAAAGAAAAATAATTCCTTCCCCGGTTCCAGAATTTCTTATTTCGGCCGAAAGGGTATGACTTAGATATTTATCAATCTAGGAAGGAAACAGGACCAAGCATTCATAAACTAATTCCACGAGAAGTAAGCAACATTGACATCACATTCCACTCAAAATGAAATATGGAAGCCAAACAAAGCAGTTCCCTGGACAGACTTGTTGAACCATTACTGACCATAGAACAATGCATACCATCTGATTGGCAGATGAATCCAGCATAATTGAGATTAAAGCATCTAGGCATGCACCTTGCTCAAGTACTCCACGAGTTGACAAGATATTCATCAAGACCTGTTGAATGCAAACTAATGAGGAGCCAGAATGTATGAATTTCAGCATCAAAATCAAAAGAATATCGAAACTCGTGAAGAATACTTTTACAATAAAAATTATGATGAATAAAGCATTTTGATTCTAGTAAATAACAAAATAGTATAATATATTTTTCAGAAGGCAGAAGCACCAAGCTGAAAAAAATTTCCCAGAAAGATCTTTGGATTTGCACTTCAAATTATTTTCCAGAGTTGTAAAACTATATTAACCAAAGAGATTTGAGATAGCCAAGACAAACGCAAAATAAGGTCTCTATCAACGTACTGGAATTGCCTTGTGTTGATGAGCCAAGACTGTACTCTCTCGATGAAGAAGACAACATCCTTCCAGAACTCTTAGTGCAATAGCCACTTCAGCATCCGTTGAAGGACTAGTTATTTTCATAGGTTCAACAGTAAATATGTGGTTCAGACTGGTTACTGTCTGGTCTTCTATTTCTTTCAGAGGGTGTTCAAACAGCACTGGAACCACTGTTACATGTAAAGTAACTCATCACCAACCACATTCAATATAATAACACAAAAGTTATTGATACTAGTAATTCTTCCACCTTATTTCCATTGTTTCATGGACAACACAACAACTCCACAACTAAAGCACCAATGAATTTGACACAAAAAATCACTCAACAGAAATCCAAGAATATACATAAAAAAAACTTAAAAGCATTGTTGAGAAATTATTAACAATAATTTAACATCATTTTATTACTTAATATTGAAGAGGCTTGTCCATTATTGTCAAATATGTAATTGAGGTTTTTGGATTCAAGAAAGAAAATTGTTCTCTTTGATGAATGAGGAAATCATCATTTTATATAAACTACAGCTAATCTTTATTGCTTTGATATAATTTGTTTAATAAACAAACCAATTCAATACTTATTTTACTTCGTTTTCTTCTCTTTTCTTAGAGATCAATCAAAATCCACTTTTACGGTAAAATGATCCATCAACAACAAATTTTAGCTCAGCCTTATACATCAAATTTCGCTCAACTAACATTAGAACAAAGTAAATAAAGTTTCACTGGGCAACACTGAACTATGTCCTCGGGATCAAATTTTACGGAAGAAGGATAAAACAGTCGTTCAAATTTCGAGGCCCAATTACTCATCACGGCATAAGTAAAGAGCGAACCTTGAAGGTCAGGGATGGATTGGGAGTGGCAAAAGAGAGTGATGGTGAAATCAGATTCAGCGACGGACTGTAGGAATTTGAGAATGCTGCGGAGGCCGCGGACTCGGAGGAATGAGAACTCGGCGCGTGCATCTCCCAGTCCGGTACGGAGAGCGAGTGTCACCTCCCTGTACAGCCTTTGCTTGTCTAACGATTTCACCAACTCCTTCACCGGCGATTGAGATTCGTCCTCCGATTCCGACGAGTTCAAGCCGTCGCTCCAGAACGGCTTCTTCAGGTACATTCTTTCTCTCTCTCTCTCTCTCTTCTTTATGAATGGAAAAGTGGAAGTGATGGATGTAGAAATAAAAAATAAATCAAATTTTTTAAATTTTTAAAAAATTAGATCCACATTTTGAAGGTAAAAATGCATTTTTATTGTTGATGTGATAAGAAATATGTGATTAAAAAAGAAATATTATTTTATTGAAAAATGTGTAGTTGAAAATGAGTAAAAGAATGAGAATTAAAAAAATAATATGGACCAAACATGGCCTAGATTTAGCCCCGTTTGGTACACATTTTTTGAAAAATAATGCATTTTTATTGTTGATATGAAAAATAACGTGGATCAAACAGGACCTTAACCACACATTTTTCATCAATCACTTTCCCAACATACATTTTTTTTTTTTTTGCTAAAATGGAGCTCAAACAAGCTTTGGATCGTCAAAAATTAGGGTAAATTCCACAAGGTCCCTAACTTTTGTAAGTGTGATACCCATATCCTTAATTTTTAAGCATATATTTGACAAGTGTTTATAAATATTTAAAAATGATTTTTGAATGAGCAGATAGTAATTGTGAATATCAAAAATATATGGAGAAAATATTTATTTGAAAGATTGACATGTAAAAAAAAAAAAAAATCGAAATCAACCTCTAGATGCAAAAGGTCATTCCTAGCTTGTGCGCCCACCCATTTTTCTTCTTTTTTTCTTTTCTTTCTTTTTTTTTTTTCTTTAATTTATTTGTCACAAGGTTGGTTCTTTGTAGTTGACGATTTGTTGTTAAATGGTAAAGGGAATTTTAAAAAAATAGTTTAGTCTATTCATCGTTTGATATTAAGATAAATTCCACACAAACCCTAACTTTTAAGCATATATTATAAATAGAAAGAAATGTTTGATGGATAAATGTGCAGTAATTGTGGATCTAACAAAATATGTGGAGAAAACTATTATTTGAAAGATTGACATTTTAAAAAAAATGAGTTGGTACCAACCTCTAGATGCATAGGGGTCATTCCTAGCCCTTGCACCCAACCATTCTTTTTGTGTTTGAGAAAGGCTTTTTAGCAATTTCAAAAGCTCTTTTTGGAAGGTAAAAGTACTTTTAATTACTATGTTTTGGTTAAAGTCAATAATTTCTTATTAACAAAAAAGTGAACATTATTTTTAGTCAAATTTCATCTCCAATGTTTATTAATAGGAGTGAGAAAAGATAATAAATGGGAGAGAGAGAAATATTAAATTATAACGACTTACTCAGTGTAGATGATCCCTAAGTCTAAATGATCTCACAATGTCTAGTTAGATATAGTCGTAGACATTTGCATTCGAGGTGGACTTTTGTAATTATTGATTATTTTAGCTTACGTGATAATCTTTTGAGTGCAATCCACGTTAACATTAAGATAATTCAATGTTTTATAACTTTATTGAATAATATTATAATGACCCCAAAACTACACAGAGGGTGCTAAGTACCAGAGAAGTTGAACAACATTACCCCAAAATTTAAAGGGTAATTATATTTCCACCACAATTTTTATTATTTGCATCACATTTTAATTACACTTAATGTTCTTTATCTTTGTTCATTAAGACACTTATATCACTAATGATTTTTCATGTCATTCTTATCATCACACTTTGTATTTGAAATAATTTTATATCCAAAAGTTCATTGAAATAGCATAAAATAACTTATTTTTTCAGCATATTTAAAAAATAAAAAGTACGATTTTTTTTTTCTTTAATGTCAAAGCATGATAGCAAAATATTTAGATATAAATTATTATAAAGGATGAGACGTACTAATTAATGTAAGGTTGAAGATAAGGATTCATCGAAAAAAAGTTAAGATAATAATTGCTACAATGAACAAAAATTGATGAGAATAATTACAATTAAAATATGATGTATCAAATAAAAATTGTGGTGGTAATATAACTATCCTTTATCTAAATTTGTTTTAAAAAGTTCAAATTTTAAGTTTCTCTGGAAAGCCCTAACTTCAGTTTTCATGGCATTTAGGGCGTGTTCGGTATAAATTAAAATCGGATTAAAATTGAAAAACTAGCCGTTATTGTTGACTTTTCTTAGACGAGTGAGATTCAATAACGGCTATATTTTCAATTTTAATTAGATTTTAAACTTAACCAAACATGCTCTTAATGTAATACTTAATCAATAAAATATTCCTTTTAAATTTAGTAAACCCATGTTTGACTACCATTATTTGAAATTTTTTTTCATGTACTCATTTTTAATTACTCATTCAGCCATTGTTTGAGTCACATTTTCATTTTCATTCTCATTCTTTTACTCATTTTCAACCACACATTTTTTAATAAAATAATATTTTCTATCACATCAATAACTTTTTTTTTCTTTTTCAACCACATATTCATCATCACATCACAAAAAAAAAATGTATTCTCTCCTAAACAAAATGCATCAAACACATTAAAATATTTAGCACGTAAATCTAAAACTTTTTCCTAATTTTTAACTACACATTATTTTAAAAACCACTCTTCAAAATATTGTTTTGACCAAATAATGATCATCAAATAGGGACTAAATGCCAAATATATCTAAATTTTAGTAAATACAAAATATATCCAAGTATTCCTACACATCAGTGTATGAAAAAAATAAAACTTTCTAAAAATTTTAACAAATTACACATTATTTATATAGCAATATTTTTTAAATAATATGATTATATAATTTAATAATTATGAGACGATAATTTTAATTAATATTAACTGTAAAATAATTTATATGATACAAAATAAATATTACTTGTGAAAAAATGTGAATTCTATTCAAATAAATATATGGTACATGGAGGAGGAGCCACGTTCAATAACACATTGTTATGAGGAAATAAGATCAATATATCGCTTTGAAATTTCAGCACATTAATTTGTGTGTAAAGACAAATATGTCAATTTTTAATGTAAAGTAAAATTTGAATTCATATTCATATTTAATTTTTTTACAAGCACACACATATGCAACTCTTTAGTTGATTAAAAAATGATTCAAATGATCTGTGACTTTCTTAAAAAAAATAGAAAGTGACATAAAAATTCTCTTTGAAATCTTAGCACCTTAATTTATATACAAAGATAAATAAAATGGTATATCATGTCACTTTTTAATTTACAGCAAAGTTTGAATTCATATTCCTATTTAGGCTTTGTCTGGCAAAACTAAAAATCAACTTTTCAGCCAAATTTTGACCGTTACTTCACTGTACGTGGGGCCCGCCGCTGAGAGGACTGGTCCATTATTACGGCTGAACGGTCAAATTGTGGCTTAAAATTCGGATGGAAATCTGGGGCAGACAGCCTCTNGGCTCCACTCGAGCTTTTTTGGGTCGGAGCAAAGCCGGGCCAAAAAAATCGAGGCACGGCCCGAGCTTTCGGCCCAAGCCTTAACGGGCCGAGCTGACTCGAATTTTTTGATTTATTTAATTTTTTTTTTATTTTTTCATATTGCTTAGCTGCTTGCAGGCAGCTATTTGAAAAAATATTTATTTTAAATTGGAGGCTCGCCGGTGCCGGCCCCGAGCCGAGGCCCAAAAATGGGGCTCTGCCCGAGCCCGAGCCGGGCCCGGCTCGGACTTTTTCCGAGCCGAGCCGAGCCGCCGCCCGAGCCGTCCGAGCCGTCGAACTTTTTTGCCATCCCTAGGTACATGGAGGAGGAGCCACGTTCAATAACACATTGTTATGAGGAAATAAGATCAATATATCGCTTTGAAATTTCAGCGCATTAATTTGTGTGTAACGACAAATATAGTGTTACCAATTTTTAATGTAAAGTAAAATTTGAATTCATATTCATATTTAATTAGTTTTTACAAGCACACACATATGCAACTCTTTAGTTGATTAAAAAAGGATTCAAATGATCTGTCTTTCTTAAAATAAAAATAAAAAGTGACATAAAAATTCACTTTCAAATCTTAGCACCTTAATTTATATACAAAGATAAAAAAAGGGTATATCATGTCACTTTTTAATTTACAGCAAAGTTTGAATTCATATTCCTATTTAAGTTTTAACAAATACACATGTATGCATCTTTTTAATTGATCAAAAAAGAATTCAAATGAGTAGAGTGCGGCTTTCTTAAAAAAAAATGACAAAGAATGTCATTTTTAAATTCTAGCACCTTAATTTATATATAAAAGACAAATAAAATGTTACATTATCTCACTTCTAATGTAAAGCATATTTGAACTCATATTCATATTTATTTTTTCACAAACACACGTGTGTGCATCTCTTTAATCTACGATAAATAAAAGAGTGAGTTCTCAAATTACTGTTCATAAGCCGTGAGTCGAGCCGAATGACTTTTTTGCTTGGCTAAGCTCTTTTTTCTTTGATTCGGTATCCACGAGCCGAGCCGAATGTCTTTCTGGCTCGGCTCGGCTCGACTCGACTAAGTCGTTTAAACCATTTTTTTTAATTACGTTTGATTCAATATTTTAAGTTACAAATATGCGTTTTAAGCGATTTAAAATTTGTTGGAAATGTTGAAGTGCGATCATGATAAATATATGGTTGATAAATTTTAAATATCAAAAATAATTTTACATTAATTGTGAAGTGTAGAGTCGTGATTGTTTATGTTTATTTTCAATCTCAACCACATTCCAATATCCTTTTTTCGAACTTTATTTTTCCTGCAACATTTGATTCGATATTTCACGATATGAATATCCATTTGGATTGATTTAATTTTTTTTAAAAAAAACTTACAATGTGATACTAATAAATATATTTTTGATTATCTTCCATAAATAAAAGAGTGGGTTCTAAAATTATTGTTCATAAGCCGTGAGTTGAGCCGGTCCGAATGACTTTTTAGCTCGGCTAAGATTTTTTTTATTCAATATTTTAAGTTATAAATATGCGTTTTAACTTTTAAGTGATTTAAAATTTGTTGGAAATATTGAAGTGCGACCATAATAAATATATGGTCGATAAATTTTAAATATCAA